AAAAACCTTCTCTGCTGCTCCGTGGCAAACTGGATCTTCCCTCTTATTCCCAAGTCACACAGGACATTCTTTTTTAAAATGCTTAACCAGAGCATTTGAAAGTTACCCACCAAGGTTCAATCTCAACACTACTGGTAGTTTGGGCCAGGTAACCTGTAGCTCAGTCCTGTGCATTGTGGGACGCTTGGCAACATCCCTGACCTCTACTTACTAGATAGGTACTAGTAGCCCAAAAATAACTTCAGACATTGCTAAATATCTCTCAGGGGGTGGAGCTTGGGGCAAAATCTCCTCATAACCACGGATTTAAATCTTGGGCACTGTGGCCATGGGCAGGGCTCAGCAGGACGAGCTTAGTGAATGTGTGTGGGAAACACCAAGAGCCAAGGATTGGTTCTATCAGCTGTTAGGCACTTGCTGAGTGTGTTCATCTTAAACCTCAAATCTTAGGGTATAGAACAATCTCTACTACAGATTTGGTCATATTACTGGTCGGCTTCATCTTTTTTTTTAAGATTTATTTAAGAGAGAGTGCACACACGTGTGTGTACAGGCAGAGGGAACAGCACAGGGAGAGGGAGAAGCAGACTCCCTCCTGAGCAGGGAGCCTGATGTGGAGCTTGACCCAGGACCCTGAGACTGTGACTTGAGCCACAGGCAGATGCTTAACCGACTGAGCTGCCCAGGTGCCCTGCAGTCTGCCTAATTTCTTAACTGTCCTGGTGGCCTCCACAACAGGGCTGCCCAGCCCCCCACCCCTGGGCCCTGCACACTCTCAGCTCCCTCACACCCAGGGCTCCAGCCCCAGAAGTCCACAACCCCTGCCGGGGACCTCTGGCCAAGCCCGCCTCACCTGCCTGACAGTACTGACCCTGTAGCAAGGGCCCCATGGCACCCGTGCTTCCCCGCAGTGTCCGTCCCATCCATGCCCTCGTGTCGGTTTTCCCCACTAGACCGAGCTCTGAGGACAGGCTCCTGGGCTTAGCAAAGCAGATGCTTGATAAGTACTCGTACAGAAAAGGGAGGGGCAAGGCAGCTGGGCGGGGGTGGAAAGGAAGTGCCTGTCCTGGGCCAGGTAAGTCTCAGGGAACCCCTGCCATGACTGCCCATGTGACAGCTCCAGCTGGGCCCCACACAGCTCCGTGGCCTTGTCTGAGCCCGTGTCCTCACTGGTTCAACCTCGTGCACATGCTGCCTGCTGGTCTCCCATCCAGGGGGTAACCAAATACATCACTCCCTTCTGTCACCTGGAAGCTGGTTTCACTCCCCCTCCAAGAGCAGGAGTTCCATGCAGGAGGGGCCTCCTCTGTATCTGTGCTCCCCCCAGGGCTGGTGGCCTTCCTTGACGCACAGCAGGGACTCAGGAGGCACGTACAAATAGACAGAAGGGACGATGTCCATCCTTCTCGAGCCATCTGTCCCTTCATGTACACCCCCCACCCCCCGGGGGGTGGGCACCCACAGGTGGTCCTTCTGCACATGGCTGGCAGCAGATTGTTCCTGGAGAAACTCAGGACTCAAGTTCAACAACCCTGCGTTTCACGCTGCGCTTTGAAGCAGAGCATGCTGAACTGCAACAGATAGTTCACTTCCTGGAATTTGATTTTATATGTCACTTTTTCAAATATACGTTTTGGTTCTGGAATCTAGGGATTGGATTGCTTTAAAAGGAAGCTCCAAACCTGCCCTTGTAGCAGGTCTGCTGGCTGCTTCTGGCAGCTTTTGAGGTGCCTCTGCTGGGAAGTTCATTTGCCAAAGCTGTTTTTTTTACAGCGCCATGATGCTGGGCAGTTCAGAATCCTGAAAAGGCTCCCTCACTGCCATTGGGAGTAACTCTCGCCTGTCTCTGCAGAACAGGTAGGGGCAGTGAGTGGCATGCTGGCCTCACGGTAATATACCAGGCCCTCCCTTCTGGATTATTCTTCCTAGATGGCTACATCACTGCATGCTTTTAATTCTGTGTGGCCACAGATGTGTTGAAAGAAAATAGGTAAGCAACACTCTTTTCTACAAGCTTATGAAATACCATTATGCTAGGTTCACAAAATAACTTTTAAGTCAACACAATGGATGACAGCAGTGGCTCCAACTGGGAAGTCACATGGGCATGGATACCTGTTTGGTTTGAAAGAAGGGGGAATGCTGCAAAGTATTAAGTCCAGCAACCTCAAGCCGTCTGAACTTTTATTTTCAGCAGTAAAACCTTCGATGGCTGCCTATCATCTCCATGACACAGCTTGGCTTTCAAGGCCTTTCGGCCAATGAATAAACCTATTGAGCACCTGTTATGTGTCAGGTACTTTCCTGGGTGAGGACACAATAGCAAATGAAACAGAGGAGAACAAAGGGCTGCTTTCGAGGAGCTTCCAGTCTAGTTACAGAAGATAGGTAGATGCACACATAGTTGTAGAATGTGCTGGCCTGCTTCCTGGCTCGTTCTGTGTTAGCACTGAGGGGCAGAGAAGGCCAGGATGGGAGTGCTGTTAATTCTTATATCCTGAGACAGATATGTGACATAACTGGTCCAGCCGTGCTGAGAGGAGACTGGAGGAGAGCCAGCATGGAATCAGGAAGACCAGTCTGGGTTTTCTGTTTTGCAACCCAGAGAGGATGGTAGCTTAGATGAGGGTGGAAGCAGAACAGGCAGAAAAAATGTCAGTTCTGACGTTAGTCTGAAAGTAGTCTCCAGGATCCACTAAAGAATTAACTACGGGATGGGAGAGAAAGCGGGAAATCAAGTAGAAGGCTAAGGTTTGGGGCCTGAACAGCTAGAGGAACGGCACTGTTGTTTTGGGGGAAGGACATGTGGGAAACCTGAACGTGCTTTGGACACATCAAAGTAGGGGAAGCCAAGCAGACAGCTGTTGGGACATTCCCTCACCTGGTCCCAACCTTTCTTTCAGGCCCCCTCTCCCTCCCGAGCCTGTATTATAGGCAGACCATCTTCCTTCCTATCGCCTGAACGTTCATAAGGGTTTGTGTCTTTTTCCCAGGAATGCTGTGCCCCAATAAAAATGGTGTCCATCGTTAACTAAATACCAATGGCTCCCAATCCTACAAGAGCCTAAGTGCCTGAGTTACATCCAGAAGAGGAACACGTCAGCAGCATCTCATGCTGTCCTGGCCCTGCAGAAACTTACATATAGATAGGAGAGGAAAGGAGACATGCCCTCAAGAAAGAATGGTAAACTCTGGGGTCCCAGGGGAAAGAAAAAAAAAAAAAAAGACCTCGGAAGAATGAGCAGAATGGCTTTCACAAGCTGGGGAACGTTTGCAAAGGGGGTGCTTGTGCACTGCTGAGAACTATTTCTCGGTTGGGAAGCAGCTCCGATGACTGGCGGGCCTGACCCCTCTGCAGAGCAATGGGCCCACAGGGCTGCAGGAGATGCTGCAGTGCAAGAACCCTTCACGGCACCAGACACACAGTAGGTACCTCACGTGAGGCCTCCCCCCTGGAAGTACATGTAGACCGCCACGACACGTGCATGATCATCAGTCAGGGGATCGTCAGTCAGGGCCAAACCCGGGAGCCCCCCTGCTGGATCTCTGAGAATGGTTGAGTCCATTTTGTCTGCCAGACTACAAGTGAGTACCTGCTTAGGGCCATCTAACTTTTATTTACTCAAAATCTTGGGACTTCACCCGGGAAAGCTCCAGATCACTCCCACCTAAGTCCCTGGTGAGGTTTCCCTCAGTTCTGAGGGAGGCCAGATCAGCTTTCTAGGAATCTGTGTGACTAGCACAAGAGCTCTTAGCACCTTCAGTGAACATTCACACCCGCCCACCCTTTCATGTGAGGTGCCCAGCAACCAGGGGCAGGACTGCAACTGCCACCTGGAGCTCGGTCCTTCAGCAGAGGGACAGCAGTGACAGGCTGGATCACCCAGAGATGACGGGAGGGCCAGCAGCACTTCAGACCACTCAGAGCTCTCCTTTCACAGGTCAGGAAAAAAGGCGAGGCCCACAGAGCCCCTTTACTCCCTTAGCCAGTTGTGAGGCCCCTGAGGGCAAGTGCATCTGATGAGCAACAATCCCAACCCAACTAAGGGTAATCACAACAAACGTGAATCTAAGTTGACAACCCCTGGGAACATGACCAATCAAAATCATCCACCTACAAACTGTGCGCATGGCCCAACCCCTAAGCGCTGGGCAGGAGAACTCCTCCCCCCACCGATGGTTGTGCTGGCACTTCCACCTTCCATCCCCCATTCTATAACTCAGGCTGAGGAAGGGAGAAGAAAGATCTCAGTGTGCGAACCCAGCAGTGGGGAGACCAACAAGCAGGCTGGGCCATTTCAGTAATTACAGAGGAGTAGTAAGAGGAATCTGCTTGGATTTCCCAGGACATTGGCTCGAGAAGCGTTCTCGGCCTGGGTACAGGAGCTCTGTCTAAATGATTCACGGGAGTAAACTGGTTCCTGATTTTCCACTGGGGCTCACACCAGGCTGGAGCGCAGAGGCCTGAGCAGGAGTCCTGGCTCTGCCACGCGGAGACCCTGGGTGTTCACGACGATTATGCATAAGTGCCATTTACCCAGGGCTGGGTGTGTGCCAGGCGCGCTGGGCTGCAGGGGCGCCTCACCTCGTTCAGTGGGCCCAGGCAGTCAGAGGGAAGTGGGGGCGGGGGGAGCCTCATCTCACCACCTCCATTTTACAGATGAGGACACGGATTCTGAGGCCCGAGTCCGCAAGTGCCCCGAGGTCAGGCCGCAGCTAACCGGGTGTGTCTGATCCCCTTAATCCGGGGCCCCATATTTATGCACTGAGCTAACCTGAGCCTCAGTCTCCCCAGAACCGACAGAAGAGGGCCTAGGTAAGCCTGAAAACCGCCTTCCAGGCTTCCGAGGTGCGCCCCCCCCCCCCCGGGCTGCGGGGGCGTGGCGTCGGCTCCGGCGGGAGACCACGGGGGGCGGGGGTGGAGGGGAAGGGGAAGGGGAAGGGGAAGGGGAATTGACCCGGGAGCTGCGCCCAGCGCGAGGTGGGGAGAGGCTACTCACGTCGATGTTCCTTAGGATGACGCACTTTCCGTTGGTGTAAAGGAAATTGCTGCCCTTGGGGTCGCCGCCGATGATTTTGGAGACGCCCCTCTCCACCTGGGGGAGGCTGGCGAACACCTTCTCTGCGGAGACACGGACCACGCGGGCGCGTTAGGGGCAGCCCCCGCGTCGCCCCCGGCCGGGCTGGGGGCGTGGGGGCCGGGGGGGGGGGGCGGGAGCGGACGCGAGAGGGGCCCCGGCCGGTCTCAGCCGGTCACCTGTTGCCTCTTTGCAGGAGCGCAGGGGACCGCGCGACTTCCCGGCCGGCGCCCCGGGCCAGGCCCTGCGGGGCGGCGGGGGCTCCCACGGGCCCGCCTGCAGCACCGAGTCCGGGGGCGCCCGGGCCGGGGGTCGCCGCCGGGCGCCCCGAGGGCGGCGGGGCCGTCGCCGGCTCGCGTCCGCCCCCCCCCCCCCGCGGCCGGGGCCCCGCCGGGCCGCGCCCCGCGCCCCACATCCCGCGCCCCGCCGACGGCCGAGGGGCCCGGCGGGGGGCGCCCGCCCCGGGGGCCGCGGGCGCGGCACTTACTGATCTCGCACGGCATCCTCGCCCACTTGTTACCGCGAGCCTCCGGGGCCGCCCGCGCCGCGAAGCACACTGGCCGGGGCCGGGCGGGGCACGGGGACGGGGCCGGGGCCGGGGCCGGGCCGGGGACGCGGGGCCGGAAGGCGGCGCCGGGCGTGCCGGGCGCGGAGGGGGCGGTCCGAGGCCGGGGCTCCGAGGCCGGCTCGCGCCCTGCCCTGCGCGCTGCCGCCGCTGCCGCCGCCGCTGCCCGCGCCGAACCCGGAAGCGCGGCCCCGCGCGCGGCTCGCCCCCAGCTTTGACCATATATAGTCAAGCGCTCGGCTCGGCGGCTGCAGCCCGCGTGAGCCTGCGCGGACCGGGCCGCCCCTCCCCCGCCGGCCCCGCCCCGGAAGTGACGTCCCACGCGGCCCCGTGAAAAGGGGGCTGCGCGGGCCCGGCGGGCGTCAGACTGGTTCTGGCCGCGGTGGCGCTGCGGCCGCCGCTCCGGCCGCTCCCGCGCTCCCGCTCGAGGCTGGCGTCGGGGGCTGCGGGGCGTGGGACCTCGGGGCGTGGGACCTCGGGGCTCGGGGGTCTTTTTCGTGCTTGTGTTTTTGCATCCGGCCCTCCGGGCGCCGCTCAGCTGTTGCAAACAGGCGGCTGCCGCTTCTCCTAAGAACCCGGGTGTGGGAGTCGCCCTTCCTCTAAGACAGCCGATGGCGGCGGAAACTTTGGGGATCTCCTTGGTGGGCCTGAACTCCCATCTCAAAACTTCTAGGGAAAGCCAAAAGCCAAGGACAGCAAAGGGAAGAAGCCACAGGGTTTTTGTTAATCAGTGAGGCAGAAGGAAAGGAGGAGCGACTCTGAATTGGATCGAGGCAGCGGCTCCCCGATAAATTAACGGGGGGGGGGCGGGGAGCAAGGGCTCTGAGGTGTTGCCCGAGGCTCCTTTTCCAGCAGGGGGACCGCCTTCCTGAGCAGGGAGCACCTGGGAAACCTTGGAGGGTGATCCTTGACTCTCTACGCCCCTAACATACTGGAAAGGCCGTTTCTCAAAATACGTCCGGACAAATCACTTCTTGCCTCCTTGGCTGTTAGTCCCCCAGGGCCAAGCTCTGAAGGCGCCCTTGGGTTAGTTAGGGCAGGTGTTTGCTCTCCGGCCTGCTAGGCTCCTACCCTCCCCACCTTCACCTCCGTCTGCTCTCCAGATTGCAGCCTTTCAATTGAAACCTACTTTTCACCTTAGACTCTATGGGAATTTCAAGTCTCCAGAGCTTAAAGCCTTTAAAAAAAAAAAGGGGGAGGGCTGGTTGGGCCCTAAGGGCTAAGTCTAAGGGTTAGGAAAGCATCTACTGCCCTCAACTGTACCTTCCTTTCTTTCTCTTGCAAACTGTCTGCCTTGTTGCTCCAGGAATGCTCCCTGCCCGCAGGGCCTTGGGCGATTTTTCTACCTCAAATTACTCTTCCCAAGTACCTAACTGCTCCAGTGTCACCTGCTCCATGCAGGTCTGCTTCTGTGACCACCTTCTCTTAAATTCCAAGCTTCCAGCCCTTAGGAACATATTCCTGATTCTTTCCTGAAACACTCGGAGTGTGCACCTGGCACACAGGTGTTCAAATGGTTGACCTCACACCCCACATGGGATCTTCGATCAAGAAATCACGGATGGGGAGGGTAGTCTTGTGAACTCGAAGGACCCTGAAGGAATGTTAAGTCTTCATACCGAAAGGTAACTACTGAAACAAGTAGTCAAACAAGTGGTGGCTGTAACTATTCCTGAGAAACCGGGATTTAATTATCAGCCTTTAATGGGACTTGGATTCAGAACAGGTGGACTTAAGTTCACCCCTCGGATGCTTAACATAAGGGTGTATGTGGAAGTAAAATGCACTAACCTCAAGCTCTTGCAAGCTGGTACTCTAACACGTGTACAGAGTCTTAGACTTAATGCTGTTTGAAAAGGAGACTTGAGTAAAACCACCTCAAAACCCTGGCAAAAGATCTTGCTGCTAGTTTAGGAAATTCTGCTAACCTGGGGACCCGAAGTTTGTGTGGGGATGCTGGTCCTAGCTTAAACATAGTCCTTCTACAGACAAGACTTGGCAGAAGATTACCAGGGTTGAAGGGGGGGCGGGGAGAGACGTCAGCATTATTCCTCTGGTTCATCTCTGGGATGGTCTGGTGGTCTCAGCTGTAAGGGCTCAGTAATAACTGAGTGGTATCAGCTGTGGTTCCAGCACTTTTCCTTGGGTTCTGCATACATACACCTTAATACAACCTAACAACCTGCCTTGGGTTTCTAGTAGGGACTCTGAATGTCAGTATCCTAGTGACTCCTGCTCTACGTGGTTCATCCAGCTACTTATCCCAGCACCTCCCCTCCATTACCAACTGTCTCCCTGGCATCTCTGTAGGCCTATTCCTGGAGGCACTTCCTGAGGCCAAGCCAGACTAAGACCACCACCACCCACCTCACCTGCCATAGGGCTGCTTTAACCACTTCCTAACTGCTGTGTCCACTTGGAGCCAGAGTAACCTCAAACCTTGTCAGCACCCCCGGCATTTTCTGTCCCTTAAGATTTAGGCTTGGGACGTATGTTGCTCTCCAAGGCCCTGGGGGACCCAGCCCCTGTCCTACTCTCCAGTAGCTCTGCCTGGCTCCCTTCTAGCCACAGGGCCCACCTTGGAGGACTCTGCAGCACTGCTCTGCACAGCATCTGCCTGGCTGCTGCACTTGTGGTTTCTGAGCCTTCCCTGTGTACACTCCAGTTCTAGGCCTGTCTCTTCAACTGAACTCTCTTAAGGCCACATTACTCCTCTGCTTGCTGGATTGACTTGCCTCCTCACACCCACAGTGAACTTGAATAGGGACCACATGTTCTTAGAATATTGAACAAAAGGCCCACCAGACCAATGAAGAGTATCACCTGAATTTGCATTGCATTCCAAAGCATCAATTAGTGTCTTAAAAACCTATTTAAGTAACTCCTTAAAGCTTAAACTCCTAGGCTGGCTTTGGGTAATCTGGTTGCAGTTACTTGGCTAACTCCCAACAAAACCCTTAGATCGGCTTCCAGGTGTCAGTACAAGGCCTTGATGCTTCATTCCGGGTCCATTCTGGAGTGGAGAAGGCTCTGGGCCAGTCCCACCACTTCCTGGCCTGTCTTAGCTCTTTGCACTAAACTCTGGAGTTGTAGAATGAACACAGCTATTTTTGCTTCTCTGCTGCCGGATACTCAGCACAGTGGCTGAAATGGTGCCCTGAGGGCAGGTGGAGTCCTGTCCTCAACTCTCCCTCCCTGTAAGGCTTGCTAGAACTGCAGACTTCCCTAGCCTTGAACTTGGGAGCAATTCCTGTGAGTCAGGCCCTCCCTTGCATACTCTCCTTTGGCTCAAACGTTATGGCTTGCCCAAGTTCCCAAGCAAAGGTCTACAGTCAGGATTCAAGCTTGAGTCTGCTTTCTCCAGAACCCAGCTATCATCCTTAAGAAAAATGAATGAACCAGGGGCACCTGGGTGGTTCAGTCAGCTAAGCATTTGACTCTTTGATTTCAACTCAGGTTATCTTAAGGTTGTGAGATGGAACCCCACATCAGGCTCTGAGCTCATTCAGTCTAGATTTGTTCCTCTCCGTTTCCCCCACCCCCGATAAAATCCTAAGCGAACCGGACCATTCCAGGAACACAAAACTCACAATAGGCAACTTTCTTTCATTCCAGCAAACCGTAGAATCCACTAGCTCAGACCAGTAGCTCAGCTAATGGAATTGGCCAAACAAGCATAGCTGAGCCCTTGTGCCTGCATTCTGCGAACAGGTCCTCTGCTTCCTCCAACTGGTCCATTGTTTATATATAGACCACCCAACCCCCAAAGCAGGGCCCACTGTCCAGATCTGCATGTGGCTGGCAAAGATGTATTAACCTACGAGAGCTGCTGTAGTCAAGTACTACAAACTGAGGGACTTAAGCAACAGACCATCTCCATCTGGTGATAGTTGGTGGTTCCCTCTGCAGGATGGGAGGAAAGCCTTGAGTGGATCATTGGGGAATACACCTCAGTCCATGAAAGTAGGTAAGAGGCTTACAGGTCTTCCCTCGCTGAGCCCTTGACTGCTGGCCTGAGGCCCCCTAGAAGGGAAAAGACCAAGATGCTGGAGTGTGCAGGCATGCACTTTGGCAGGGACTTTAGCATCAGCACTAGAAGTTTGCCACTCATTTTGGAGAACCTGCCCTTGAAAACCACCAACTAGGGTACAAACAGATCGATGGACAGGGGTCCTGCCAAAGGATCCCCAAGGAAATGATCAAATGACTAGTCCTCATCCCACCCCTGAACTGGCTTCTATCATAAAATACTCCAATACAGCAGCTTAGAGTGACCTTTTAAACCAGCACCAGAACATTGTCCTGTTTGGGAGCTACTTGGTTTCTGGGGCTGTGAGCCCCATGCTTTCACGGCCATGCCTGTAGGACTAAGGAACTTCTGCATTCAAGTGCAGCTGCAGGCTGGTGGTAGCCAGCTCCTAGATGGCCAGGAGCCTGCTTTCTGGCCTCAGTGTACTCAGTTTAAGACCAACTGGGCCTAGGAATTCCTGGCCTCTTGTCCTGCCTGGGTAGGTTCTATCCCTACCAATGGTGGTGTTGGGACTGAATCAGTAGGCCTCTGTACAAGAACTTGATTTCCATATTGTAATGCTTATTACAGGCAATTGCTCTACAGACACTGCAGGGTGGAGGGAGGCTGGAGATGGAGTGGACTTGAGTCAGTTAACTGAGCACCACTATATATACTCAGGCATGACTAGCATCTGGTTTCTAGCTCCATGTCCTAGCTGATGGCAAGAATTTTTTTCTGACTGAGTAATTGTATACATATACTACATCTTTATCCATTCATCTATCCGTGGACATTTGGGCTACTTACATTATTTGGCTATTGTGGATAATACTGCAATGGACACTAGGATGCATGTATCCTTTTGAATTGGTATTTTTGTATCCTTTGGGTAAATACCTAGTAGTGCAACTCTTGGATCACTAGGTACTTCTATGAACTTTCTGAGGAACCTACAATACTGTTTGTCAGTGGCTGCACCAGTTTACATTTCCCACCAACCGTGCAGTAGACTTTCCCTTTCTCCGCATCCTTGCCAGCACCTGTTTCTTGATTTAGCCATTCTGACAGGTGTGAGGGGGTAGCTCCTTGTGGTCTTGACTTTTAGTTCCCTGATCTGTGAT